TGCAAACATACAATAATAAAATGACAAATTTTGTCCAAATTCCCAGTGTTTACAAAATGTAAAGGCAAAATCATATTTGATAGTTGTTTAGAGGGATTTGTTTTTTAATGGGCTTGACTTTCTGTGCATTGTATGAATTGACACTTTACTAGGTATATAAAACTAGCCTTTTCTGTTTTAATTTTCATATTATAATGCTATGTGAAAAAAAGAACTGATTAGAAAGTAATTAGTTAATAAGCCTCTTTTCTGTTTATTCTAGGTTTCAGGAAGGATTCATAAAACATCACTGCATAGTAATGCAGCTATTACAATGATCTATTTGGGGAAAAATGTGCACCTAGCTTATGACAACCAAGATTTCCGAGATGAAATAAAAATTTATCAACAGCACTGTGGTGGGGAAAACCTTTGTGTCTACAAAGGCAAACTATTTGAAAATGGTACGCATGAAACGTGCATATTTTAATTGCTTGGGGTTGATGTTATAGATAAGCTGTTGTTGATATAATATCAAAATGACTTCAATCACTTTATGAAATTATGCATATCCAGGGACTTATAAACCAGCTGCCTAAAAGTAAATCTAGATTTACTGCTCCATGATTGAAACTGAAGCAGCAATTACTTCTGCAGATTGTGGAAGAAGGAATTTGGAGTGATTTAACCCGGTAACAGATTAATTTTGGGATAGAGATGTATGATCATTAAAATGTTGCACGAATAAGCTGTGCCCCAAATTATAAGTTAACTATTTGGCTTGCCATAGTGAATTATATCGTACATTATTCTAAGAGAAAAATAACAGATTGGCAATTTGTTCTTTAGAAGTGTGTTGAGATAAAATCACAAATCCAATAAACTTCAGGGTGAATCACACCTAAATAACTTGGTGCAAAATTTGGCTAAATTTACATTTCTTTGGCTAATTTACATTTCTTAGTAAATTTCTGTTTTCATCTGGTCATAAATTCATGTTTATCAGAATAAGATAATTTTTATATCCTGGTTTTCACATGCTGTACTGTAGTGTTTTTTCTTCAGTATTTGGTTTAGTGAAGAAACAATGAAAAAGAAAATTGTTTACAGGATTGTATCTGTTACTTTTTGCTTAAGAAACTCTGTTAAGATTGTAATACTATTTTTACTAATTAAAGCGACTATTTATATTTGCAGGATCTTGTCAGAGACTTAGGAATTTAGGGAGTGCAGGACAAACATAGGAATTTTACTTTTGGCTTTTCTGATTTCTCTCATACAATCAAAAGGAAATTGATGGAATTAATGACAAAATTCAAACTCTTAAAGATATAACTACATATTTAGGAATTGTATGTTTTAAACTTCCCAAATAAACAAGACTAAAGGCTTGCATGTTAGTTTTGACTTAAAATGTAATATGATGCTCAGTTATGCCAGAAACTGTTTTTCTCATTTTTCATATTTGGTGGAAATGTAATTTAACGTAGACTCATTTTGCCATAGCCTTCCAGAGTTCATTCACTCCATCTATAGATGAGGAAAATAGGAGGTGCTCCAAGTTGGCTCCCCAAGGTTCCACATCCAGTACTGTACAGTCAAAAGCAGGGCCCTGCCCCTGCCTAGGTGCAAAACCTGGCTTAGTTCTATACTACTTTAGTTAGCTGTTATCAGTAACAATAAGTTTCCTATATTTTCATAATATGAGGTACTTGAAACTCTGAATGAGTTTGGCGTAGATGCATACATTTAGTTTTTTAAGTATAACTTTCATCTATTAATTTAGGGGAATTACTGAAATTAGTTATAATCTAAAGTTGGAAATTACAGCAAGAACATTTTCCTGGGTCCTAGATTACACTTTATTCAATAAAATGTATACATAATACCTATTTGACTGCTGGATAATGTGGTAGATATAAAAGAAAAAAATGAGTGTTGGCTGAACAGCATTCTGGTACTCTCTATGAGGGTACAGAACCAGTTTACATGAGGAGAGGGTGTAACCCCACACAGAATTATTTGGCATACATATTGATACTGGAACTTTTTGTTATGGCATTGGATAGTCTTGAATAATAGGAAGGAATGTGGACTCTAATAATTGAATCTTGTCCATGTAATACTTTGTATCAGCTTGCCTTTGATTGCCAGGAAAGTAATTGTTCAAATTGAAAAGTTGGGCAGTTTAGAGTTGTCTTGAAGTTCAGCAATCTTAGCAGTTTAGTTGGACTGAAAATAATCTGCCCTTTTTATAAATCAAAGCTATGTACAAATCTGTCAAATGTGAATACATTTTTAGAAATCTCTGTTAAAAAATAAGGGCCTTTAGCATATGCTTAGAGCAGTAAACTCATTAAAATAGGGCATTTTGTTAATTTGTCTTGCTTTTCTATTAAAAATAACAGTAAAATTATTTAGGAATGCAGCAAGTACATCTTTTATTCTCAAAGTAATTCATTATGCCTCTTGTAGTTAGATTTTAGACTCCAAATCACAAGCTGATTGCCTATTATATCACCTATGCAGTCACAAAATACTTTTGCTACTTGTAAATGCTACAGTTTCTTCACAGGAATTTTTACTTGCTGCATTTATCTTTTTGAATAAAACCAACCTTGGCCTCATGGGTTCATGTGAAGGCAATGAATAAAGTCCTTTTTTTTTTTTTTTTGCTCTCTTTTGTGCCCCATTTCCTTGTATTTTCATAACGTGATCCCATCTCACTCATTTGTGAGTCCTCATTATCCCCTGGCAAACAGCTCTTCGGCTGTCCCCCACAAAATTTTGTCTTGTGCTGTTTCCTTTGTTAGTGATGCACTATCCTTCCTTCTTTTTAACTTAAAATTTCAACTATTTTTAAGACTTAGGTTGAGCCTTTGCACCTTTCTCAGGGGACTTCCACTTTGCTCTACCCCAGTGGCCCATGGCTCTTGATACTCAAAACTGAAGCATTGTTTTTTCTTTTTTATTCATTGACTATCTGTTTCTTTTTCCTTGACATGATATCATGTATTTTTAAAGATTTTTTTTTTTTTTTTTGGTTTCAAGGTATAAATTAGATGCCTTGCAATTTGTTCTTCATAAGCATGTCACTCAATAGGTTTTAGAAATTTGGGGGGCTGAGGATGTGGCTCAAGCGGTAGCGCGCTCGCCTGGCATGCGTGCGACCCGGGTTCGATCCTCAGCACCACATACAAACAAAGATGTTGTGTCCGCCGAGAACTAAAAAATAAAATATTAAAAAAAAAAGAAATTTGGATAAGTACTGCAGCCATTATTATAAGCTCATTTTAGAACATCATCATGTCAGAAAGTCCCTGGGTGCTCATGGGCAGTGAGTCCTTACTCTCATAGTCAGCCCCCTACAACCACTGATCTGTTTTCTGTTTCTACTAATTTTTCTTTCTGCAAATGACTTCTGGATATTTTATATAAATGTAATCATGCAATAGGTAATATTTTGTGTCTTGTTTCTCTCACTTTGCATACCATTTTTAAGAGACATGCATTTATTTTTAGTATAGTGACGTGTACAATTTTGAATTTTGGAGCATTTTAGGATTTTAGATTTCCAGATTAGGGATTCTTAGACATTTAAAGTCTCTGCAAGTATTTCAAAATGCAAAAAATTCTGAAATCTGAAATACTTCTTGTCCCAAAGCATTTCAGATGAGAGATTTTTCACCTGAATGTGCCAGTAGTTATGCTCATTGTATAGCCGACTGTATGCTATCACATGGACATATCATAGTTTCTGTGCAATCACCAGTTAAAGGGTATTTGTATTGTTTCCATTTGGGGGCTATTAAAAATAATGCTGTTATGGACATATAAAGATTTTGAATATGCACATATTGTGATTCTTGATTGGATTTGTAGAAATGGCTATTATTGCTTTTATATATTTTTCTGATTATGGGTCCTTTTCCTGTTTCTTTACAAGTCTGTTGGGTTTAGTTGGAACAAAAGATATTTTATATTGTATATTACAGGTACTGCAAATTTTAAGAATTCTATTTTTATTTTTTAGTTTGGTCTCAAAGGTGTCTCTGATTTCATTAATGATTGGTAAGAAGTTAAGACTCAAACACCCTCTCCCTTCTGCTAGTAGTTCTGTTGGTAGGGGTGTTAGTTTCCTAAGACTGATTGTAGCTGTCTCTCAGATTGTGGCTTATAACAATAGACATTTATTCTCTTAAAAGTCTGGAGACAAGAAATCCCAAATGAAGGTATTAGCAAGTCCTTGCCCCCTGACAAACTCTGAGGAAGAAAGATTTGGTGGCTCCTAGTAATTCTTGGCCCTCCTTTCTCACATGTAGTTCCATCTCTAGTCTCTGCTTCTGTCTTGACATGGCCTTCTTTGTACATCTCTGCATGTGTACTCTTTGTACCCTTTTCTTTCTATGAGGATGTTAGTCATTGAATTTTGGGAAAAACTGAAAGCCAGGGTTATCTCATCTCATTCCTTCACTAATTTTATCTATGAAGACCTTATTTCCAAATAATATCACATCTTGAGGTTCTGAGTGGTTTTCAATTTCAGTGGCTCGGGAGGACATTCAAGTTCCAGTAGTTTCCAAGTCTTCTCCAACTTTTATTTCCACCATTCTCTATTTCTTCTCTGCATAAGATAAGCTCCAAGTAGGTTGAGAATGAATGAATAGGTCAGGTCCACTCGGACCCGTGCTCCTTCCAGTTCATGGTGATATGGGAGAGCTTATTGAATGCTTCTAAGATTGCCTTATTGCCTGTATCTCCCTGTTAAATTTCTGGTTGGTCCACTGGCCTGTTGCTATTCCTAATTAGAACTCCAATCTCAGGGAACCTCTGACCTTCCCTGTTAGCTTGCCTCCGAGATAGCTACTTATTACTGGTAGTGCCACAGGCCAAGAGATTTTCCCTCTTTTGCTCCATATCAAGGCAGCCCCCACTGACAGGGAAACTGCTGGTTATTTATGTGCTGCCCTCCCCAATTAGAGCTACTGTGATGAAACAGTGGCAGGAGTGGGGATGAGAGCAGCCCCAGGCAATGATGCCTCCAATTCTCTGCTGTTTCTACCTCAAGTTCAGTGATTTTTTTATGAATGAGTGCTGCTCAGTTGGTTTTAAGACTTTGGTTCATTTCCAGAGACAAATTTTTAAGGGGAGAGGATTTGGTGAGCTCACTCTAGAAGCTTGGTACATTAATTTTGTCTCTCCTGCTGAATTATAACTTTTGGAGGAGATGACCACATTTGATTTTTCATTTTTAATATTTTTGCTTTCTTTCAGTGCCTATAACAGCACTATCCACTGTTGGTAAATAATGAATAACTAAGTTTTGTAAGTATTATAAAGTGCTTCCTAATATTGTACATTACATCATCTTTAAGTCTGCTCTGCAAAGTAGGTAAACTGAGATCTCCATCACCCCAACCATCCCCATTTTATAGGTGAAAATTCTGGAACCAAAGTTATATAACTTCCCCCGAGGACATCCAAGTAGTAAGTGAAGAACTGGGACATGGACCAAAACTTTGTGATTTCTGGTATGAATCAAGTCAGCATTGAGAAATGTCACTATAATTTCAATTATAAAATTATAAAATAAATACAAAAGAGTAAAAGCAAAGGGTGTCAGTTCTTCCTCAGTAAATTTGGGGGGAAAAAAAGAACAAAATGGAATAACAGCTGGGTGTGCTCTCCAGCTGCATGAGCATCAAGTGGAGGGACAGTCACATCCAGAAGGGATTTCCTGTGCCAGTTATCAGCATATTCCTGAGCATATATATTTTCTTCCTGCACTGGGTACTTGAGGAGTTACGCACACAGGCTGCAGCAGAATGGTCTCTGTTACATGAATGTGGGGGTCAAGTTTCTGTAATGGAAGCAATCAAATTTGCTTTCTAGTCACCACTTAAGGAGTCTACTTATTATTAAAACAAATGGATTTTTAAACCTATTGTGTTTTAGCTTCCCAGCATGCTAAGTTTTTCAGTTTTCCCCCTAGTTTATTTAATCTCACATCAAAAATACTTAAATGTAAATGGCAGAATTACTTTTTCAGTAGTTTTTTTTTTTTGTGTGTGTGTGTGTGTGTTTTTAGGACAAGGTGCATCTGACTTAGAAATATTTTAGGAGCATAATGTGGTACACTCACAGCTTTTCTAGGTGACTGTGAAGGATGTTGGTCAAATAATGATTCATTTATTATTTTGGGAGTCCTCCTTTATACTTGTTCTTGGACCTAGAGAAACCAAGATGAGCAATACTAGCTTTAGTTCTCATGGTTTTTTACAAACATACAAGCATGTATCTGGATCAGGGTTCTCAAAGTGGGGTCCCAGGAACCAGCAGCATCCGAGTTGATTAGAAACTTGTTAGAAATGCTGACTAAGAACTCTGGGGTAAATATCAGCAGTCTGTGTTTTAATAAGTCTTCTAGGTGATTCTGGGACCAGAATTCATTCAAGTTTGAAAACTTCTGTTGTTCATGAGAAGCAGGATTGTAAAGAATTAGGTCTGTAGGTCTTGAAGTTTAGGGTCTCTTTTTTTGTCAAAGAGAATTACAAAGATTTGGATGATTAGACTATTAATCACAGCCATTGGTTTCTAATTAATTGGTAGGATGTTTCAGTGAGCGGGTGGGTGAGAATTAAAGAAGTCTCAAATTCAAATAGAATTGAGTATCACTTACAGATGGAGTAACTCTGCGTCATTCACATATGTATTAGGATATTTAAGGCCACAACTAAAAATGTGAACTTTTAAAACATCTGATTGACCTCACAGTGTTCTTTTGTCATTATGTACTTTATCAAGAGCATTTGTGCATGTTGCTGCACAAGTATCATCTGACAACTCTGGAGGCTAAGGCACAATGATCGCAAGTTTGAGGCTAGCATGGACGAATTATGGAGACTCTGTCTCAAAATAAAAATAAAAGGGTTGGAGATTAGCTCAGTGACAGAGTGGCCCTGAATTCAATCCCTGGCCTGGAAGGGGGAGGGATGGCAAAATAACAAGAGACAGGCGTGGACTCTGTGGAGATGTTTATCTTTAATCACTAACTCTCCAACTTACTGTATGATAGTGAATAAATCCTCGACCTCTTCTAAGCTTCAATTTCCTCATCTAGAAATAGCAATAGAAATATTCCCACCTCTTGTGATTGTTGAGAAATAGCAAAACTAAGATAATCAGGCATAATGCTAGAACATAAGAAGTGCTCATATAATGTTAGATATTATTGTATATCAAAGAGTTGTATAAGATATTGAGCATCTATTACAAACTCCAAGTGACAGAATGTGTTTTTATGATTTAAGTTGTTCTCGAATTAAAAGATGATTTATTGCACAATGTATTTGCCTAAAGAAAAATGTAGTTGGGAAGATGTTGGTTCATGGTTGCTTTCACTAATTCATTTCTTTCTTTCTTTCTTTTTTTTTTTTTTTTTTTTTTATTCCAGAGACCTTTCAGTTTATTTCCAAAAGGCACCATGGTTTTCCCTTCAGCCTCACCTTTTTCCTGAATGGTTTGCAGGTGAACAGGTTAAGCTCCTGCTGTGAATTCAAGCACCGAAAAGGTTCCAGACTTGGAGGCAGACGAGGCTACTTTGGGTTTGTGTGCGTGGAGAAAGCATCTCCTTGCTACAAGTATGGAAACACATTTCCTGCGGTAGAGGGCTGGCTTTGCTGAAGTTTTCTTCTTTTGTGTTTATTAATTCATTTCTTTATATGATTTTAAAAGCAAAACCAGTGTATATGAGCCCAAAATATTTATGTTAAAGGCTGTTTACTACATCACTGAAGGTTTATATTTGGAATTAAAAATATAAGATTTATAGATGATTTTATAATAGAGATAAAAGGTGCTAGTATTTTAAGTCGTCTTACTTTTTTTTCCTCTTTTTCCTCAAACTGCCTGAAATTCTGTTTCTGATAGAAAAGAGAGGACAGTTTTAAAACTTTTTTTTTTTACTTTATTTTTTGATGTTAGTAACTGGTCTAGGATTAAAACCCCAAACACATGCCTTGTACCAAGCATCAGTCCTGTGTGACTGAATATTAAAGGTTATGCATATTAGGGTGCGCTTGCATTATGATGTGGCCCAATTTGCCTTCTCATTATCTTCATTTCAAACTTATGACAAAATGCATGATGAAAGGTTAGTTTTAGCTGTTGTTTATCAGCTTTCATGTTGGACATTCTCTTTGAAATTGGGAGTTTTGCCTTTGGGCTTTCATTTTTTTTTTTCCTGAAAATATTCATGGGGAATTGACTTGATGCCAAACTAGAACACAAGAGTGAACCAACCAAGTGACATGCTATCATAGAAGTTATTCTAACAGGAGAAGGGAAAATAACATACTAATACACTAATAAATCATGTCACATGGTATTAAGCAAGATAAACACAAAACATGATAAGGGAATTAACAAGAGAAAGGGGCACAAGGGTCATGGGATAAGGAGTTGTCTTAAGTGAGGTAGTCAGGAAACACCTCTCTGATGGTTTTTGAGCAGAAACTAGGAAAAAAAGGTCTCTTCCTCCTGATAGCTTTTTAGAGAGGAAAAACACGCAGAAGGCATGAAGGAGAAGCAGACTTGGAGTATGTGTGTCTCAGATTATGTGACCAGAGCCAAAATAAGGAATGGAACAGTGATAGAAGAGGAAGACAGAGGAGCAGTGGGACCAAACCCTGTAGAAGTTCTAAAGTCATAGAGTGACCGTCATTCAGAGGAGGAGGAGAAACCTGCAAGGTTTTGAGCAACTAGCCCAATCTGACAGGAAATCCTCTGGGAAAAATAAACCACCAGAGTGGGGAGAATCTTGGAAATGTTTATTTCAGGAAAGAGAGATTGGTGGAAAGAGTTTGATGTGATTGGATTCAATATATATTTTAAAGGTAGAGCTTACAGAGTTTTTTTTTGATGGATAGATTCAGGGTTGACATAAAGAATCAAAGTTGACTAAAAAGTTTTTGGCCTAAATAGCTAGGAAGATGTCCTATTGTCATGTACTTAAGATAGGTTTGAGAAAAACGCAGGCTTAGAGATCAAATGAAGGGGTTTTGGTTTTGGACCACAGTGAGTGTGAGACATCTGAGACACTGTAAGTTACTGTTCACTAGGCAGGTGGATGTATGAATCTGGGCTCAGGTAAGGGGTCTTGGCTTGATATCTAAATTTGAGAAAGGTTTGTATGTAGAAGGCACGGCACTGAAAGTCATGGAATGGAGTGAGATTGCTTAAGAAAGGATACACATAGAGAAAATGTCGGAGAATAAGCTGCACATCATTACAAGTCAGAGATAGGGGAAATCAAGAGGCACCAGCCTGACAAAGATAGTCAGTGTTCAGAAAGAGAACTCAGACCAATATTTTGGAAATGAACAGATGTTTGGAGAAGGGAATGCTTAACGGACTGAAATATGTGGGTAGATTACGTAAAATGAAAACTAGAGATTGGACATTGACTTGGGAATGTGTTTGTTTTTGGTGATCTTGAGACAATTTATAGTGAAGTGGTGGGGATGTAGGCTCAATTAGAGTGAGATACAGAGCAATTGGGGAAGAACTAAGGTCCGAGATTATAGACATATTTTTAAAAATAGAGTTAAAAGAGTTTCCTTTAAAAATGTTAATTTGGTGGTAACCAGGTGAGGGAATATAGGGGTTAAAGGAACATTTTATTTTTTAAGAGGTGATACCATAACATGTCTTTATACTAATGGATATGATTGATACTCTAAAGAAGGAAAAATAGATGAAACATGACATGAAGGGGAAAATTGCTAGCACTTTGTGCTTAACTAGACTAGAGAAGATAGGATCTAGGGCTCACATGGGGTTGTAAACCCTAAGAAGAGAAAGGTCCTTCTTCTATAGCATCAATAGGAACATTGGCATATATGGGAGAGAGAAAGGTAAGATGGGGGATTACGAAGACCAACTGAAAGTCATCTGCTAATTGTTTCTACTTTCTAAAATAGGAAATACATTTATTAGCTGAAGTTGAGGAGGAGGGGTTGGAAATTTTAGGGGAGGGAACACGGTCTGAAAAAGATCATCCAGCGAGCAGGAGAATTGAATGGCCTAGAGCAAAATTTTGGTGCCAGGAAAACTAATGAGCTATGATTGTCCACGTGCAAACACATTGCATTCTTTGGGATGTGTACCCATCAAATCTGTACATTTTTAGCTCTGAGCACTTTTTAGGAGGTGTGTGTACCACAACCTGACTGATGACATCTGCTGTTCTATTCAACATCTCCTAGCTTCTGTACAATCCTTTGTGTGATTTCAGATTCACAAAAAGTCCTCTCTACCTTCTTTCATCCACCTTTGCAAATATTATCAAAGTGGTTATGGCATTAAAGGATAAGGCTTGTTACCCTCAACATAATTGTACAATCCTTATAGGAATTGTTTTATAAATTCCTTAAAGAAATTTGTTAATTTCTAAATCATTTCTTCCAATCAAACCTGTAAATGCTCAAAGTAGTGTTGTTTGATGTCCCCCTGTTGCAGATTAGGTGAAAGTCAATTCAGACATGTTTAAAGGGGTAGGAATGGAAGGGTAAATCTAAAATCTTGTTTATTTGGCCCCTGGCCTATTTGAGATGACTTCAATTATTCCAGGGGCACCAATACATAGAACTTCAGTGAAAGT